GTCCTCATCCGCATACAAAAAAAAAACACAAAATCCCAAACACTATCATACGTCATGTTAGAAAATAAAACATGATAATGTTTAGGAAAAAACAAACACTTGCATACATGCACCAAGCTTCATCCTCATAACATGCATTTAATAATAGACAGTCGAGAAAGTGGACATTCCTCAATACCATGTGAAGAGAATAAGGCATTCGCATGCCATACACGGGAAGTCAAAAAGAAAAATTTGAATAAAAATATTTACCCGCCTATAGGTTCATTTAGGCTTCTCCGCTTTTAAAAAAAATGTACTTCGAAACATTGCATTGAGGAATGTACACTGTCTAGATGAAATAAATAAAATTGTTTGTTTTCATCATCTCTTTAGACGTCTATTACATTCATAAATCGCATTCATTCTCACTTTAATAATAATAAGATAATAAAAAGAAAGGATTAGTCGATGGGCTTTCCACGAACCGGAATAAGATGGAGAGTAAGCCTTTCGTCATCAAGTTCTCCCCAATGGTTGATCCGCCCAAGGAGGATAATAAGCCTCAACCGTTGGGTATCCAAGTTAATAAGGAAGAGGGGGCAAGGATGTCGTTACATTCGTTCACCCCATACATCAAATAAAATTGTACCATTGAGATACGCAAAAACATCTTCCATTAATGAAGATATCTCCAGCATAGCCAACATTCAGGGGCAAAATTAGAAGTGAAAGAATCTACACCCCCAGGAGCTATAAGGCAATTCTCCCAAGAATTAAGGAAAAATAAAAAGACCGAAGGAAACATAATCCAAAGAGGAAATTGAAGAGACTTTGGATTCACGACGCTAAGGCAATTCTTTCAATGCTCCGCCAAAGAGACAAACTCAGGGTAGGCGACAAGCTAGTCGTAGTTTGAGCTAGAAACGACATTCGGATCAGCAAATCATTTGCCCTACCTTGGATGGATGCGGCTGAATTAAAATATCTTTTGCCAATATGAAAAGACTTTCCCAACAATATGAAGGTGACCCACATGATGAGAAAATATGGATATCGCCCAAACCAAGGGCTCATTAGAAACTCTCAAGGAATAACGGAGCCACCAGATTTTAAAGACAATCCTTTAAAGCATGGCCTACGGCATTACCCTACAAAGGATCAAGCTACATGGAGAAAAGGAAGTCTCCCTTCTGCAGCTCAAATCAGATTTTCCCATAAGGAGGGGTTCAAGCGTCAAAAGCGACTTTAGTCATTAGGTGTTCTCCTTCTGATTCTTAGGGTTTATAAATCCAATTACTATTAGAGATTACTCCTCGGGGCTAGCCCGACCCCCAAGCATTATAGGGCACATATTTCCCTATTAATTACAAAGAATGTCATTCTTACTATCTGCTTCTCTTCTTGCTATTAATGGCTGAACCTCATTAATAACCACGTTTAGGCAAACGTTTTCAAAAGTGCGTCGAAGTAATCAAAATGCGCCATTAACCAAAATAAAAGTCAAATCCATCACCACTGATTGACTAGAAGCACAAAATAAAGTTTTACCTCGTCATAAATAAAGTTGTGTTTCGCCAATGTTGTGCAAAAAGAAAACAAAAATCAAAAAGAGCCCAAAAAATCTAAAAAAAAAAAAAAAAAGGAGGCAAGGTACCCGGTAGGAAACCCATTAAGGGGGCTACGCAAAAGTTAGGGTAAACCCGCTAGGACACCCGAACAACCATAAAGGGTAGCCTAGGCAAAAATTAGGGTTACAAAATAAAGTCCAATAGGTTTCCCAAAACAAGAACAAAGAAACCTATACAAAAGTTAGGACAAAACAAAACACAACATCCTAGACTGAAAACCCAAAGGGCGGACTAGGGAAGTCAATCAGCCATAACAAGCGCCATAGAATAAGACGCCACTTCATAAACAAAACGTTTGTTTAAACTAGCCTAAACACTCTAACCAACATTGGCTAGCCATTCTTACAAAAACCATTTTTGTCAAAATAAAACAATTCTAAAACACAAGCCTTTGAATTAAATATCCCCTTCCTTCTTTTCTCTTGACCCTTACTACTACAACATTCTAGTAATTAGTAGGGAAATGTGGAGATAGTAATCAATAGGAGGATTGACATCCCCAAGGAAAGGGAGGGGCGCACTAACATGGCAAGTCACTCTACAATTAACACAATCATTCTTCGGTCATGAAAAATCGAGACGAAAAATGGGTACAGCCTATCCCTGTCGATGAAAGCACGTAACGTCAGAAGCTCATCAGAAGTAAAAGCACATTGGTTAATCCTTTTGAAAAATCAATTGAAATAGTATTATAGGATGCATATCGCCAACATTGCATGCATATGATAGGCTCCTATCTCTCAAAAAAAGGAAGAGAAAGAAAAAATGAGAATAAAAAGAATAATGCCGGCTAGGAGATTCTTAGGCAAAAGTTAGGGTAGCCTGCTAGATCGAAAACCCGCAAAGGGCGGTCTAGGCAAAAGTTAGGGCATTCACAAAAAAGGAAAAAGCCCGCTAAGATATCCTAGGCAAAAATTAAGGCAGCCCGCTAGATCGAAAACCCCAAAAAGGGCGGTCTAGGCAAAAGATAGGGCTAAACCAAAAAATGAATAAAAGGGAGGGGCCCTTCATCATAATCATAAAAAGTCCAGCAAGAGAATGCCAGTCACTTTTCCAGATGCATCAATCAAAAAGAGTAGATTGCATTTAGGGCATCCACACACAAGTAGTCGCACAAAACGACTTTGTCAATGTCAAAAATGAAATAAATAAAAATTACTTCAAACAAATAACAAAAAAAAAAAACAAAAGCATTCATGCATATAAGGAGACTAGCTCCATGATTGTGATTGAAAACAGGATCACTGAGACCGAGTCTCCAAAATAAAGTCTCCAAGAAAATGGAGCAAGTCGTCAATCAAGCTACTCAGCAGAATAAGAGCTTCTGAAAATCAAGAGCTCTAACTACCATCCTTCTACCCAGAAAAGAAGGCACAAGAAAGTAATAAGTCTTCACACAGTGCTCTCCCTCAAGAAAGAAGAGCGAGTCGTCATCAGAAGCTTCCAGAAGCCAAAGCTCCAAACATCACCCAATAAAAGAGGGCACAATCATCAGACATCATAAAAGAAAAGCCGACGGAAAGGCTAGTTATCCCCAAAAGGATCTTTGCCTACTCCATAGGCAAAACAAAAAGATTACCTCACGGCTCAGCATTACCACCACATGAGTCATCGAGCACACTCACCCAAAGTCTCCTCCACACTCCCCAACAGAGAATAAAGGCTCCAAGAGCCCATCATCATCATCATCAATAGTCAAAAGAGTCCAAACCATCAAAGGCTCAACAAAAAAAGGAAAAAAGAAGAAAACCCTTGCATCCCCAGCGGATGTCCAAAAAGGCCATGACAGAGAAGGCCGAATAAAAGTCCTCAAGTGGAAATTCAACAAAAAAGGAATCAGAAAATCCCATCCCCAGTAGAATAAGAGCTTCACAAGTATAGCTCGCATCAACATCAATCAAGGAGCCAAGACTCCATTCCTAGAAAAGAAAAATCAGATCCCCAGGAAGTCAACTAATTCCCTGGTGAATCACTAAAAAAAATAAAACGTCATCCCTAGTGGACCTTCCCGAAAAAGGAAAAAGGAAAAAAGCCAGCGTAATAAAAAGAGACTAAAAAGTAAAAAGGCTTACGCATTATCCCGAAAAAGCCAGATTTCAAAATCGTGATAAAAAAGAGATAAATCGCGGAAAAAAGGCGAAATCAAAACCATTGCAGCAGAATAAAGAGCTTCAAGGAAAATAGCTCTAACCTTCTACACCAATAAACAAAGGTACACCAGAAAAAGCCAATGGAAAGGCTTGATCATCCCCAGTAGAATAAGAGCATAGACAAAGGCCAGCTCACACCCACATCAATTAACGAGTCAAAACTCCATTCCCTCAGGGGGCAAATCAAAATTAGATCCCCGGAAAGGCAATCAATTCCCCGGTGAATCACCAAAAAGAGAAAAATCATCTCCAGTGAGCCTACGACAAAGGCAAATTCCAAACTCACATCCTTAGAAGAGTCATTTGCCTAGGCGTAGGCAAGATCTGGCGAGCAAGAGCCAATTTCCCCAGAAAGGGACATCAACCTATTCAGAAACAAATGTAGCCAAAAGTCTTCACTTCCGATGAAGCATCTGCCTACTCAGAGGCATTACCAGAAACTCAATAGAGCATCTGCCTACTCAGAGGCACCATCAAAATCAACAAATTTCTCAATGGATATTCGCCTACTCAAGAGGTGTCACCAAGATCAACAAATCCCCAGAGGATTCCTGCCTACCTAAGAGGCACTTATCAAAAAATTCCCGACAACCAACAAAGTCGGATGACCACCACAAAAGATCAAAAACAAAGAATCCCCAACAATCAACAAGCTGGGCGAACACCAACAGAATCCCCGGCACAGACCAGACGACAATTCCTAGAAAAGACAAAAAACAAAAACAGAACACATCTCAACAACGGACTGCAACTACCAGCCTGATGGGGGGTTTATACCCATCAACCGAAGGATCGACTACCGTCAGAAGGAGTATCCCGAGGTTTTACCACGTGTCCACCGAAGGGATCGGCTACGTCAGAAGTAGTATCCTGGAAGTGCACGAACACAGAGATCACTCCCCAAGGAGTCGGCGCATGATCAGAATCAGTAAGCCGCCACCATCGCCAAAGGATCAGCTACCGCAAGAAGGGGCATCCAGAGGCACCAAACCAGACGGGGGTTCGTGCTCGTCAACCAAAGGATCAGCTACCGCGTCAAAGGAGCATCCGGAGGTCAAACACCAGATGGGGGTGTAAACTCATCAAGCCTTACAAAAGGGGGCTTACCGGGCGGGGGTTAGTACTCGTCAAACACCAAGATGGGGGTGTAAACTCATCAGGCCTTACAAAAGGGGGCTTACCGGGCGGGGGTTCGTACTCGTCAAACCGGATGGGGGTTCGTACTCATCAGCCGAAGGGGTCAGCTACCGCGCCAAAGGAGCATCCCGGAAGCGCACAACACAACATCTTCCCAGAGGATCATCCGCCGCAATGACGGTGTATCTGAAGGGAAACCGGGCAAGAGGGTCAACTCCTTTACCCTCCAGTTGATCACCTCGGCACAAAAGGCCAGCAGTCGACTGGTCGGGTAAAGGGGGGGCAGCTGTAGACCCCAAATCTTGCCCGGCCTCAGAATAAAGCCAGAAAGCATCCTATTTGAAGACGGCCGAAGCTTAACAAGTCATTAGGAGAGGCTATTAGGCTCCCGTACCAAGATAGGAAGGTTTTTTGGCCCGAAAATAAAGTTTCTCGCCCTGAAGGGACGAGACCGCCGTCTGGAAAGACCAGACCGCCGTCTCGTCTTAACGCCAGGACGAGACCGCCGTCTCGAATTTCCAGACGGCGGTCTCGTCACATGCAAAAGTCGAGACGGCGGTCTGGATTTTCCAGACGGCGGTCCCGACTTCTGCATAGTCGAGACGGCGGTCTGGGTTTTCCAGACGGCGGTCTCAACCTCTGCCTCCAACGAGACGGCGGTCTGGAATTTCCAGACGGCGGTCTCGTCCCTGTCAGAGGAGACGGCGGTCTCGACCTGTCAGGCGCGAAAAACTATAAATAGGGGCGTCATTTTTCCCTTTTTCCACACCCAGCAGCAAGAGCTCTCCCTTCTCTCTAGAATTTCTCTCTCTAAGAATCCCTCCGAGGCATTTCCGGAGTTTCTGAGAGTTGTAGAGTGAAGGGTTGCCAAAACGCACCCTCTCTTTTTAATATATAAAGCTTGCTTTGGAGGTGCATATCCTCACTCTCTACTTTTTACTGCTATTTAAATTACGCAATAGAAGCTAGGGCCATGTAGTCATATATTTAAATACCGCATAATAAAAGGGTAAAAAGCGCAATTTTATAGTTTAATTATTTAAAATAGCCGGCCTATCATAGGGAACCCGAAAGGGGCGTCGTAAAGGGACTAATACTCCCTTTACACGTAACTAACTCCCTTACCCAACTCTGGTTCTAATGACCAAAGTTGGTTTTCAAAAACCAACGCCTTTTTAAACCCCTTTTCCGATGTTTATGGTAAAAATATCGGTGGCGACTCCATAGAACCCAAAATAAATAAGTCCTTGGGTTAGCCCGGTTATCGGACAATCCAAGGACACTTTTTGAAAACCTCGTCTCTAGGTTAGCCCGGTTAATCGGACAACCTAAGGACGTTGTAACCACCAATAAAAAACGCGAAAATCAAAGAAGAGTCGAAAAACCATCGCGTCGCTCCGACCGCGCCCCCTCTTTTGGGGAGGCGGCGACAGGGGGTAGGTACCCACAAGAGCCTTATAGAATAGGGTTCGTACCGGGTGAGGGTAGGTACTCACCAGAGCCTTATAGAATAGGGTTCGTACCAGGTGGGGGTAGGTACCCACAAGAGCCTTATAGAATAGGGTTCGTACCAGGTGGGGGTAGGTACCCACAAGAGCCTTATAGAATAGGGTTCGTACCGGGTGAGGGTAGGTACTCACCAGAGCCTTATAGAATAGGGTTCGTACCAGGTGGGGGTAGGTACCCACAAGAGCCTTATAGAATAGGGTTCGTACCAGGTGGGGGTAGGTACCCACAAGAGCCTTATAGAATAGGGTTCGTACCGGGTTGGGGTAGGTACTCACCAGAGCCTTCTAGAATAGGGTTCGTACCAGGTGGGGGTATGTACTCACAAGAGCCTTATAGAATAGGGTTCGTACTAGGTGGGGGTAGGTACCCACAAGAGTCTTATAGAATAGGGTTCGTACCGGGTGAGGGTAGGTACTCACCAGAGCCCTATAGAATAGGGTTCGTACTACCAGAGCCTTATAAAATAAGGTTTGTACCGGATGAGGGTAGGTACTCATCAGAATCTAGCAAAAATGCAGATTCGTACCAGGTGGGGGTAGGTACCCACCAGAGCCTTATAAAATAAGGTTTGTACCGGATGAGGGTAGGTACTCATCAGAATCCAGCAAAATGCAGATTCGTACCAATAAGGCCTTATAAAATTTATACCGGATGAGGGTAGGTACTCATCAGAATCTAGCAAAAATGCATATTCATACCAGGTGGGGGTAGGTACCCACCAGAGCCTTATAAAATAAGGTTTGTACCAGATGAGGGTAGGTACTCATCAAAACCTAGCAAAATGCATCAGGTAGAGTAAAATACTCACCAGAGCATTACAAAAACGGGTTACAAATACCTTGCTTCTGTTAGAGGATAGTTCAAGTATTGAGCACCTCCGAAGTAGGTACCCACAAGAGTCTAGTGAAATGCAGACTCATACCTGGTGAGGGTAAGTACTCACCAGAGCCTTATCAAGTAAGGCTCAAACAAGATAGGGGTTGGTACCTATCAAAAATATTTATCATCCGGAGGATCAGCAAAGGAGCATCTGAAGGATAACCGGGCAAAAGGGTTAACTCCTTCCCCTACCAACTAATTTTGTCGGCATATTAAGCCAACAAATTAGCCAGGCAGGTGAAGGGGGGGGGGCAGCTGTAGACCCCTAATTTTGCCCAGCCTCTCAATAAAGTCTAAGGAGACTTCCTATAAACAAGATAAAGCTCGCCTGGCATCTCGATAAAGGCCAAGAAGACTTCCTATATGAAGATAAAGCTTCAATGGACGTCTATCGACATAAATCGACGTCCGAATAAAGAAAGGAAAGCTTCCCGGGGGTCCCAGAACACAAAAGCTGGCCAAAACAAGTTGAGACGGTCGTCCCAAATGTGAGACGGCCGTCCCAAATTGCCAAATTCAAACGAGATGCGCGTCCCAAGTGAGACGGTCGTCCCACTCTTCAGTTGGTTGTCCCAATGGTAAAAATTCAAATGAGACGGTCGTCCCAACCCAGACGGTCGTCCCAACCTCTCCAGACACTCATCCCTGATTTCCAAGCCCCGGACGGTCGTCCCAAGCTGCCAGACTGCGAAAACTATAAATAGGAGGCTCATTTGCCACTTTTTCACACCCCAGACAACTCCCAGTACTTGTCTTCTCTCCCTACTTCGAATGAACTCTCTGATTGCCTTAATAAGGTAACAATCAGTTAAGGAATTATATTCCAGCATTCGATTCTTCTGTAAAAATTTAGTCGAGTCGATCTTGTATTCGGAGAGGAGAGTCTTTGTAGAGCGAGGGATTGCCAAAACGCATCCTCACAGTTAAAAGATTCGCAATACAAAGCTTGCTACGGAGGTTCTTTTCAATCCTCTTCCCTTTTACTGCTTTATTTATTGCTTTATGTATGCAATATGAAATAAAGTCATGTAGATAGGCATTTTTAATATTATGCAATAAAATAGGGTAATAGCGTAATTTCTCATAATCTTTACTTAATGAATGAATCCGTCATAGGGAACCCGAAAGGGGCGTTGTGGGGTGCTAACACCTTCCCCACACGTAACTAACTCCCTTACCTAACTCTGGTTATAATGGCCAAGTTTGGTTTTTATTAAAATCAACGCCTTTTTATCCTTTTCCAATGTTTACGGTCAAAACATTGGTGGCGACTCCATAAGAACCCCTTTTCAAAAACCTTGCTTTTATTAGAGGATAGTTCAGTTGTTGAGCACCTCGGAAGCAATGAACATAATTTTAACATAAAATGCGAGTCTTAACCATCTTTTCGCGACCGATCGCATAAACGTTCGAGATGTCCCTGGACGTCGGAACGGACGGCGGTGACAGTACCTATAAAAAATATTTATCATCTGGAGGATCAGCAAACTTCAAGGGAAGGAGCATATGAAGGATAACCGGGCAAAAAGGGTTAACTCCTTCCTCTACCAACTAACTTTGTCGGCATATTAGGCCAACAATTAGTCAGGCAGGTGAAGGGGGGGCAGCTGTAGACCCCTAATTTTGCTCGGCCTCTCAATAAAGGCTAAGGAGACTTCCTATAACAAGATAAAGCTTGCCCGACATCTCAATATAGGCCAAGAAGACTTCCTATATGAAGATAAAGCTTCAATGGATGTCTATCGGCATCAATCGACGTCCGAATAAAGAAAGGAAAGCTTCCCGGGGGTCCCAGAACACAAAATCTGGCAAAAACAGTCGAGATGGTCGTCCCAGAAGTTGGGACGGCCGTCCCAGAAGCCCAGACGGCCGTCCCAAGTTCCAGACGGCCGTCCCAACTTGTTTTGAGGCTCGGGACGGCCGTCCCAAATCCCAGATGGCCGTCCCAACTTCCCCAGATGGCCATCCCTGATTTCCAAGCTCCAGACGGTCGTCCCAAGCTGCCAGGCTGCGAAAACTATAAATAGGAGGCTCATTCGCCACTTTTTCACACTCCAGACACTTGTCTTCTCTCCTTACTTCAAATGAACTCTCTGATTGCCTTAAAAAGGTAACAATCGGTTAAGGAATTGTATTCCAGCATTCGATTCTTCTTTAAAATTTAGTCGAGTCGATATTGTATTCTGGGAGGAGAGTCTTCGTAGAGCGAAGGATTGCCAAAACGCATCCTCATAGTTAAAGATTTGTAATACAAAGCTTGCTACGGAGGTTCTTTTCACTTCTCTTCTCTTTTATTGCTTTATTTATTGCATTATGTATGCAATATGAAATAAAGTCATGTAGATAGTCATTTTTTCAATATGATGCAATAAAATAGGGTAATAGCGTAATTTCTCGTAATCTTCACTTAATGAGCCCCTTTTCGAAAACCTTGCTTTTATTAGAGGATAGTTCAGTTGTTGAGCACCTCGAAAGCAATGAACATATTTTAACATAAAATGCGAGTCTAAACCATCTTTTCGCGACCGCTCGCATAAACGTTCGAGATGTCCCTAGACGTCGGAACGGACGGCAGCGACAGGCCTTAAGGTTTTTTTTTTTTTTAAAGGAAATAGGACCTGGTTCAAAAACATTTTATGCATGCAATGTTTTCATGTTTGATGTCCTATAATGCCTATTTCAATTAGTTTTTCAGAAGGATTTAACTGACGTGTCTTGTAGCATCGAATGCCCTCTGATCTGCGTTCTCGTACTTGGTTGTACCATGTCGGACTTCTTGTAACCGAAGAATAATTTGCTTTTTCTTTTTCTTTTTTTTTTTTCTTTTTGTAGAGCACTCTTTGCCATGTAGTGTCCCTTTTTCTCCACTCTAGGGGTTTCAATCCTCTTGTTGACTATACGCCTCCATATTCCCAAATTAATTATTAGAATATTGTTGCGAGGGTC